CAGGCTGCTGCGGCACGGTTGCGGCCTCCCGCTCGCCCGTGACTCACTCGCTTAGGGCGGGGGAGGGGGGGGGCTTCCTGGAAGCCGTGACGAGGACGCTCTGCTCGGACGCTTGGGTTCCTCTCTTGTAACCAGGGCTCCAGTCTGTTGTAAACAGTCTCGAGGACAACGGGAAAAGAAGGGAAGGAGGGGCCCAAGAAATTTGCCTCCCGCCCACTTTACAAATCCCTGAGCCAGCCGATTTTAGGACCAAAAGAAGAAGAAGAACGGGGGGGGGGGGGGCGGGTTGGGGTGGGGCATGTTGGGGTTTTTCGGAGGCCGGCTGGGTCTGGATCATGGAGAAGTAACTCCAGTTTCGATTCCCTGGAGACTGGGAGCTTCTGCCATCCCTGACTCAGCCTGGACCCCTCCTCTTATCTGCTGAGTCATTGGGACTAAAGCCTGGCCGCCTGGGTCTCGGCTACTCTCCAAAGGGTGCTGGGGCGGGAGGGAGGGGGTGGCATTAGAATGACGATCCTCTGAAAATCATGACTTTAAGCGACAGGACTCACAAGGTGAGACGTCTTTATCCTAGAATCCTGGATCAGGTGCTCGGTTCCTTCCTGCCCCTCCCCATCACGGGAGCCCTGGCCCCCAACCTCTACTCCCATAGCCCGTTCAGGGATCCAGACACACAGATGATCTTAAGTGGAGCCTGGACTCCTTCAGACCCAGGCGTCCAGACCCCACTTATCCTCCCTTAGACCCCTGCCTTCCTCCCTCATGACCTGGGGGCCCAGGTCCCACTTCACCCTCACACTCAGAGATCCAGGTCCCAGGCCTAGGAGTCGGGAGGTCCCGTCCAGCCCCGCTTGGGTGCCCATATCCCAGCAGGAAGTTCATGGCCTGACTCCTCCCTGCTCCCTACGTAGCCAGCTGGGAAAATCCGCGGCCCTGGCCGTGGCCGGGAATCCCCTCTGGAATGACGGTGGGGAAGGGGGTGGCCACGGTCCTTCGGCGCACTCGGCCACGTCCTGTGCGTGTTGGGTGGGGGCTGGGGGAGCGAAAGGGGCGGAAACCAGAGAGGCTAAAAATATAGCAAGCACTTCCGGCCTGGGGGAGGGTGGGGGGAGGAGAATGCAGAGCTGAGTTTCCAGAAAAACAAGCGGGGACGGGGAAACGGGGGTGTGAGAGCCGGTGGGCGGGCTAGGTAGGGCCTGTGTACTCGAGGCACGAGTGTGCCTGGCGTGATTGCCTGCCAGTGTGGTCCAGGCAGTGTTGCAGAGGAACAGCAGTGTGCCAAAACCTCCAGTGGAAGCGAGGTGCGCTTGCTGCATGTGTGTTGTGGGAAGTCTTAAGTCCTAGGTATGCAATTGGGGGCTTAGGTGCGGGGAGGGCGGGGGAGCCTGTGACCCGTGCTTAAGGTCCCCAAAGAACAGGACCCTGTAAATAAATGTGGAGCCACCTGTGTGTGCCATGTGTGCTGCAAGTGGCCCCCGGAGGATTGTCAACTGTAACTGCTGCCTGCAGCTGTCATTGAGGGGCTTCATGGGAACTGTCACTTTCACCCCATCCATCTGTGTAACTGAACGGCTGTGGGATCTGGGGTGACTTAAGTGTGTCATTCCCCGCAGGTGCCTGGGTGATGGGATCGAAGTAGACTGTGAGCTTTCTGTGGCTCACTCAGCACAGTTGCTACAATGTGTATGAATGAATGGTGTTTGTGGGTCTGTGTCCTTGGTGGTGGTTGTCTGTTTCTGACAATGTGGTTCCTGTGAAGCAGTCACAAGACAGTGAAACCAGTGAACTTTGGCACCTGACGTAGCAGCGGGCACATGATGGGGCGAGTTGCTGAGGTGCTAGTTGTGTTATGCTCCTGTGTCTGCCTCTATGGGCAGAAGAGACGTGCACGCCCCCGCACCTAGATGCTGAGTGTCTGAGCCAATCTTATCTGTCCCCCAGCGAATGAAGCAGCTCTGCCACAGAGCTGAGTCAGCCTGTGATGGGCAAAGTCTTGATGGGGTGCGAGATAGCGGGTTAAGTGGTGGTTACAGGGTTCAGTAGTCACGTGTCTAGATGGTTGCTTTAATACTTGCTCATGGAGCAGGGTCCATGTGTATGGGAGGATGGCCAGTGTGTCAATCCCTGCTGGGGGTGGGGCTTGTGCCCATGGTTAGCCTTTAGATATGAGAAGCAAGCTGGCCTCGAACTTGCAGCAAACCTCCAACTTCTGCCTCTCAAATGCTGAGATTACAAGCATGAGCCATTTGGGCAGGCTCTGTGGTTTTTCATCGCATACACACCCCTCCCTGGCGTGGGCTTCTGCACAGACCTGTACAACCTCCCTCTGTGCCCATCAGGACAGGAAAAGGCCCTTCATAACCTGCTCAGGCTTCCTCCCTGTGCTCTCTGAACCTAGGCCAAAGCTCTTCACGCTCAAGAGCACATCCTTGCCAGAGGTTGCCCAGTGCTGTGCAGTTCCCTACACTTTTGCTGATGGTATCCCTGAATCCTAATTCCCTGTCCTTCAAATCTGCTGTCACCAGCCTAGGAAGAAGGGTTTCTTTTAACGGATTTGCTTGTTTTTATCCAGGCTGGTCTCAAACCATCCTTCTGCCTCAGGCTCTCAAATGCTAGTATGAATGAGGCCACTAACAAACGCCCTTTAAGAAAACAAGTGAAGGTCAGAAGAAACTTGTGTGAGTCAGTTCCCTCTTCCCAACATACAAGTCCCAGGGATTGAATTTGGGTCACCTGGCTTGCTAACAAGTGTGGTTGCTCACTGAGCCACCTCAGTGGTCCACACACTTCTCTTTGGAGACAGAATCTCACTATGCAGCCCTGTCTGGACTCAAAACTCTTACCAGTCCACCTGCATGCTAGAATTACAGCTTCATGTACTATATTGCATTTTATTAATCTCTACGAATAAATATAGAAACCTTTGTTCACACTGCACAGGGCCCTACAAAAGCAGCCATGTTTTTTGAATGAATATAGCTTGGTGCCTATCTTCCATGGTATAGGGTTGCAGAATATACACTTGTCACTCAGAGTGTGGTTTTAGCAGTTGGACCTTGTATATAAGTGCTGGATGCCACACCTATCTGCAAGAGATATGTTGACATCACCATGTAGGGCCAGCTGTCCCTGTCTTCTTATAGCAGACTGCCATGTTCTAGCAAATATATGGTGTAATTCCCTGGTTGGAAACTGATGTGTTCTGTCTTGGACAGGGTTAGTGTGTAGATCACTATATCCCTGAATCATTTCTAGAAACAGAATAGTCAAGGAGATCTGTGTTGGGTGTCCAAGTGATAAATCCAGGTGATCGGTTTGATGTGTGACTCTGGGGAATAGTTCCAGTTATTAGTCATATGGGAATCTAGATATTACTGAGGCTGTTTTTTCTTTTGGCTGAGATGAGGCCCAGGATGGCTTTGAACTTGCAATTTTCTTGCTTCCACATCAAGATGTCAAGGCATTTTGTAAGTGTAGTTAAAGCAAATGGTGCAGCCCTATTATCCTAGGGGTTGTGAGCCTGAAGTAGGAAGATCCCAAGTTCAAGACTAGCTTGGGCTCTACACTGAGAACACGGTGGTCTGAATCCAAGACTTGTGTGAAGAGGGTTGTGGAGACAAAATAACCACCTGGGAACCCTCGGCCAGCTAGCCTGGAGTGGGGTGTAGGAGAGACAGGGTAACAAGGCCCCTCCCTGCCTCAAACTAAGAGGGAAGGAGAAAACTGCCCCACCCAAAGGCCATCTTCACACATGGGTGCCCCCTTCCGTGTACACACACACACACACACACACACACACACACACACACACACACACACACAGAGGGTATAAACACAATGCTTGGGAAGTTCAGGGAGTAAACAGCTCTGAGTTAGATGTCAGCCTGGACTATGTTGTGAGGCTGGGTTAGGCTATGGACTGAGACCTTATCACTACAACCCCAAATAAAAAGAAGTTAGGCTCAAGATCAGTGACTGTAGCTGAGGATTTTTATCCCAGTGACCTGGGGAATTGCAGGGGATGACAAACGGACAACTCAGGCTTCCTGGCCTTGAAGACAGGCAGGGAGAGAAAGGCCTAGGCAGTGTGTACACACTTGCACCCTGATGGCTCTCCCAGTGTGCGGACCCCATGTCTCAGGGTGTTTGCAGGCACAGGGCCCAGGTCATGAGCCCACTGGTTGGGGGCATGGGAATCTGGTCACACAAGGTATTAGGTGAGGCAGTTCCGAACCCACCATTCTGTCATTCTGGCCTTTCAGGACAGCTGGGCCTGGGTTGGTAGCTCCATCTAGCAGTCTCAAGCCTGCAGGCTGTGGCTGAGCTCCCCAAAGTCCTTGGGAAGTGGGGTGCTTCTGGGGTTCTCCCTCCTTCCCTGAAGCCCCCTCTCCAGGGCCTGTTTCCCAGAGGTTAGGTTCTTCCCCAGAACCCATGATTCATTCCTGCTGGGTCCTTTTCACTTCTGCTCTGGGGCTAAAAATACAGGGACCCGGGAGTCCCTTTGACCAGGCCTCCCCACACATTGCACAATGCTGCCCACTACAGCTCTGCTGACGCAGGGACCAGCTGGGGCCCAAACTGCTCCTAGGTTGTGTGTGCTGAGGTCAGAGCTTACATTTCTGCACTTCTCCTTTTCTGGGCCAGGAAGTCCCTTCCTGTAGCCCCAGGTAACCCAGCATTTTAGTTCCCCTTATAGAAATATGTTAGAGAGAGGGAGAGCGTGTTAAAAAGAATGCACACACTGGGAGAGACCGAGGAAGGTCTAAAGGACCGTCAGTGCCACACCCCGGGCCAGGTGGGAGATGGAGGTAAGGGAGAAGGTAGAGTTCCTGGAACAGAGGTCACCAGGGCCCAGTTAGGCGGTCCATCCTAGGACGGGGAGCAGAGTGGGGGGCAGCAGAGATGAGTGCTGGCCTGTGCTGCCTGCAAGTCTCTGCTGCCCCCTGCTGGTTTCAGCGACATTGCTCTGGCATGACAAATCAGAAATGGGAGCCACCTGCTTTGCCTTAAGCCATACTTCATTCTCTGCCCCACCCCCACCAAGACCTCAGAGGCTGCCCCCAGGGCCAGCGGAGGCTGCAGTAGTCTTGCCTGTGACCTTATTGGCACAGTCCAGCAGGGCAGTGTGAATGTCCTTGGCACAGGTAATCTGGGCTTTGATGACAGCCAGGTACTGAGGATAGGGCAAGCTGTCTGGCTGCACTGCATCTGGCTTGGTGGCCGTGGGTACCAGCGTCGGAGAGTGCTTGGCGCTGTCGCAGCTCTGTGAAAGGCATTCGTGGGCCAGGCGCTATGGGAAGGAAAACAGCAACAGCATCACTTGCAGGGAGCTGTGAGCATCCCACCGCTCAATCTGGGACTAACCTGATGCTGGGCTCTGGGGCTGCGGTCAGGGTCCGGCCTTGCCAGCCTCTTGCTGGATCATCTGGGGCATGTGGCTACTTCTCACTGAGCCTCAGTGACTAAGGATTTTTGCTGTTGAGTCACAGACTTGCTATGTGGACAAGGCTGGCCTCAAACTTTTTACCTACCACTTTATCCTCCTGAGAGCTGGGATTACAACTATACACAACCCGGCAGAGACAGATGGCTCTGCAGGAAAGCCACTTGCTGCCAGGCCAGAAGGACTGGGTTCTATTTCCCCAGAACTCACATATCAGAAGGAAAAAAAAAAAAAAAAAAACACCTTCCAAAAGACATCTGACCTCTGAATGTTCACAAGCATGCCTTGCCCACAATAAAGCATAAGACTTTAAAAAAACCATCAAGTGTAACACCATGCTCAGTTCCTTAATGGGCCACCTCTCGTCTGGTGAGAATGGATAGCAGACATGTGCGCAAGTAAAGGGGCCACACTGCTTCAAGTGCTAACTCCCTTGATGGCACCTGCACCTGGTGGCTGTCCTCTCCCTTCCCCTAGGAGCAGTACTCTGTCCTGGTTCCTTTCCAAGGCTGCCACCCTCCCCGCTGCTCAGACCCTCCCAGACCCTCCTCTACCCTGGGGCCACACCCCTGCTCCCAGACCCTCCTCTACCCTGGGGCCACACCCCTGCTCCCAGACCCTCCTCTACCCTGGGGCCACACCCCTGCTCCCAGCCTCCCACCCTCCCCCCAAACTGCTCTTCCTGTGTCCTTGACAGAGCTGACTCCCTTGATAGTAGTCTCCCTAATCTAGCTAAAGAAAGAGAAGTCCATGAACTGTTCTTTGTGCCTGACTGCAGTGTCCTTCCCAGGCTAGACAGTGCTTGCCAAGGCCAGAGAACCCTGATAAGAGCCAGGCATAGGGCTACACGCCTGGACTCCCTCCCAGCAACAGGGAGGAGGGTCTGGCTAGCGCTCTCTCTCTCTCTCTCTCTCTCTCTCTCTCTCTCTCTCTCTCTCTCTCTCTCTCTCTCTCTCTCTCACACGCACGCAAAGCTGAGTGGCCAGGGTTGGATTCTGCAGGGGTGTACCTGGGTCATGGTACTCACCTGCCATGTGGCAAATGAGCTCACATCACCATGCCGGACCATGGACCTGGCTTTTGTTCTTGTGCCCTCTTTAGGGGGTGAACAGCTCCAGAAATCATCTAACGCCTTTCCTAATCCTACCCGTAGCTCTGGCCCTCACCCTGGACAGCCTGCAGTAGTCAATTAGTCTGACGGCCTGGCAAAGCCTGCAAGCTTCTATCTGTCCCTCCTCCCTCTTCACAGCTCCGCCACAACTGCCTCCTTGGGCTCCCTCGTCCAGTCTCAGCCCTTCTTTTGTGCTTTGGTTTGGTTTCTTGAGACAGGGTTTCTCTGTGTAGCCTGCACCACCACCGTCTGACTCAGCAGGCCCTTCATGTCCTAAAAAGATGGATCCCAGATATTCCTCACTGAAAACCCTCCTTACAGGGCTGGAGAGATGGCTCAGTGGTTAAGAGCATTGCCTGCTCTTCCAGAGGTCCTGAGTTCAATTCCCAGGAACCACACGGTGGCTTCCAGCCACCCATAATGAGATCTGGTGTGCAGGGATACATGTTGTCTTGTATATACAATAAATATTAGAAATGAAAGGAAAAAACAAAAGACAGAACCCTCTATCACTTCCCAGCGCACTTGGGTTATATCCAGAGTCTACTGAGGAGCTAGCCAGTTAGGCTGGGCTGGCTAGCTACTGAGCCTCAGAGATCCAGTTATCTCCATCTCCCCTGCACTGGATTATAGGGATGTACTGCCATGCCCAGCCTTTTGTGTGGGTGTTAGGAATCAAACTTTGGTCCTTATTATTGCTTTCAGAGAAATACTTCCCAACTCCACTTCCGCCACAGTGTTGCTCGCCACATCCCCCACGGACCTGACCTATGCGCCATGCCTGCTTCTCTGCCTTCCCATTCAGGTCTCCTGGGTTTTGCCCTAAACCAATCAGCCAAAGTTAGAGCCTGAAGCTCACGCTCACATCACAGGCCCCAGTGCCCTCTGGTCAGGCCATGTCCTTGCTGCTCCTCCAGCTGGACTGAGCTGTCCCTCTTGGGTCTTGTATTTGTCACCCCACTGAACCAGAAGCCCGGAGAGGGCAAGGATCAGGACAGACATATCTCCTGAGACGTGACTGATGAGTTACTGACCGACTGAGGGTTCAAGGCTGGGTATGCTAGTGCACCTGGCATCATGGCACACTCGGAATTTGGAGGCAGGAGGATCGTTCCAAGTTCAAGGCCTGCCTGGTCTATAGGCTAGTGTCAGAAGAGCCTGTACTACTGAGTGACACCATTCCAAAACAGCTTAAAAACAGTGTCCTTAACCAGGTGATAGTGAAACACCCCTTTAATCCCAGCGCTCAGGAGGTAGAGGTAAGTGGGTCTCTGTGAGTTCAAGGCCAGCCTGGTTCTACAGAGTGAGTTTCAGGACAGCCAAGGCTGTTACACAGAGAAACCCTGTCTTGAAAAACCAACCAACGAACCAAAAGAAAAATGTTCTTGTGAGGAATTAAGCAGAGCTTGGTCACAAGAGTATCTAGAAAGTTCCTTACCAAGCAGAGTTCCAGCTGATCACAGAGAGCATAAAACTCCTCCAGACATTTGTCAAATCGCTGTATGGGTCCATCACTGCTCTTTCTACAACCAAGGAGAAAAAAAAGGCTGTGTGAGGAATGCTTTCTAATCTCTGGGACACCAGCATCAGTATATGACTAATCAAGTGATCACCAAGAAATCAACTCCCCCCGCCCCGGGGGATACAGGCAGAGTTTGAAAAGGACGGGGGAGGGGGGGCAGTGGGAGAGGCTTTACTCACTGTCCATTGTCAATGTTAGTGTTCTGAATCAGGTTCTGGGCCGCAACCTTCATCAAAGTCTAGTTTGAAAAGGATAATGAGAGAAAAGTAACATGCAGGAGATCAAGTCCCACAAGGAGGTTCTACACTCTTGAGATCCACTTCTCTACCGGTATTGTCTTAGAGCTGGAATCCTCTGAAATTCTCACCAGTAACTTCCCAGGCATAACATACCCTTTACCCAAACAGCACAGCCGGCCTAGTGCACGGCGTTAACGACCAGAGCTGTTTCTCCATTCACTCACTCCCACTCCACACCTCCTGTGCTTTTCCAGACAGGGTTTCTCTGTGTAGCCCTGGCTGTCCTGGAACTCGCCCTGTAGCCCAGGCTGGCCTCGAACTCACGGAGACCCGCCCGCCTCTGGCTCCCGAGCGCGGCCCGCCACGGCCGGACAGGGCGTCGCTTTGGTCAGGCGCACACACACCCAGGGCGAATCTTACTTCTACGATCTGTGTCGCTCAGCACGTAGCCCGCCAAGCCCGCTGGTTCCTCACCTGCAGACTCTCCTTGAGCTGCGGGATGAGCATCTTGTAGCGCTGCACAGGGTCGAAGTCCTGCTGCTGCTGCTGCAGGAGCCCGCTCTGGCCGGGTCCCACCAGCTGCGTCGGCTGCGGCTGCGGCTGGGGACCGGGGCCGCCGGCAGAGCCGGGCCCTGACACTCCCGCCGCCGAGGACCCCGCCGAAGCCTGCGGCTGGGGCGCAGCCATCTTCCTCAGGGCGAACACCGGACGTACGTCACGAGCGCGTCTGCGGCTGCTCCTCGGCGGAGCGCCGGCCTCGTCTGCTGGTTGGCGCCGCCTCCCCGGCCCGCCAGCCAATGAGAGGAGAGGATGTGTGTTCGCCTGGGCCGTCTTCAAACCCAAGGCCGGGACTGGGACATTTTCTCACCAATCGTAAGAGCTGTTCCCTCACAGCCCCGCCCACCGCCCGCAGCCTGCCAATCGCAGCGCGAGGCCGGCCGCGCTGTTTCCCCGAAGGCCTTGCGGCCCGAGGCTACCTGTCCGGGTCGGCGGCGCGTCGGAGGCTGTCGGAGCGGCCGCGGCGAGCCTGTGTCCGCCGCTGCCCGCGCTCTTGCTTGAGTCTCCCCCGAGCCCTGCTCGCCGCGCCCCCTCATCCCGCCTTGCCCCGCGGAGCCCCGGCGCCCAGCCGAGCCCGTCCTCGGATCCGGCGCCTCTGGAAGTCGGCACGCCCCTCAGCGTCGGCCCGCTGCCAGCGAGGACGCCGTCCGCGCCGCCGTCGCCCGGTCGCGATGGCGCCCACCATCCAGACGCAGGCCCAGCGGGAGGATGGCCACAGGTAGGCTGGCTCCGTCGTGCGGCGCGCACCCCTGGCGAAGGGGCGGCCCGGCCCGGCCCCGGCCCCGGCCCCCACCTTGGGGAGTCTCGGGGAGGGAGGGGCCCATGCCCGCCCCGTCAGTGCAGCTCCGAGCGTCCGGCTCCATTCGCTACAGCATCGCTCCTTCCGAAACTGGGGGAGCCGCCTTCCCCACCTGTCAAACCCTTGACATGCGTCTCTTTCTCACCCCTCCCCAGGCCCAATTCCCACCGGACCCTGCCTGAGAGGTGAGCCCCACTACGTTTCCCGGGAGGGGGACATGGGCGCTGGCAGCATTGGCAGGGCGGGTGGGGGCCGTTTCCTGCGCTGTACTCGTGAAGTGGCCCACAATGACCTCAAACTCGTTATCTCGGTGCCTGAGCCTCCTGGGTGCCCAGCAGCAGAGGCCTAGTTTACCAATACATAAATAAATAAATAAAAAATCATGAGCGCACTCTTTAGCTGTGTGTTGCAGTCAAGACATCTTCCCTTCCACCATACAGGTATAGGTCTGAGAGGTTACACTCAGGTCCTCAGGCGTGACAGCAGATGCCTTCTCGCTGGTCCGTCCTGTCAGCCTGAGACAGTTGTTTTAAAAATTATCATTCCTATTTTTTTTTTTCCCCCTCGAGTCAGGGTTTGTGTAGCGGTCCTGGCTATCCTGGAATTCACTTAGTAGATCAGGCTGGCCTAGAACTTGAGATCCACCTGCCTCTGCCTCCCGAGTGCTGGGGTTAAAGCCGTGTGCCACCGCTGCCTAGCATTTGAGGCAGTTTCACTCTGTGTCCCTGACTGGCCTGGAACTCACTATGTAAGCCATCACTAGCCTAAACTCTCAGTGATCTACTTCACAGGTACAGGGGTCAAAGGCCTGTGCCACCAACCCCAGCTGTTTGTTATATTTTCCATTAGGTGTATGTGCACATTTGTGACACCTCTGTCTATACAGGCCACAGGTGTCGGATCCCCCGGATCTGGAGTTATAGGTGGTTGTCAGTAGTCTGATGTGGGTTCTAGGAACCAAACTTGGGTCTGATACAGGATAAGTAATCCCCCTTTACTGCCAAGTCATGTGTGCAGGCCTGTCAGGCCTAATTCTGAGCCACTGCTTCCCTAGGTCTGGAGTAGTCTGCCGAGTCAAATACTGCAATAGCCTTCCCGACATCCCATTTGACCCTAAGTTCATCACCTACCCCTTTGACCAGAACAGGTAAGACTGAGCTCAAGGATGGAGCAACTACTAAAAAATAGTTCACTGAAGGTAAGGGCTCCTTATTTCATTGCATCTTCCTTCCTTGTGCCAGCATATAGGAGGTGCTCAATAAATACTAACAGATAAAGCAGCATGCAGTATCCTTCTGAGAAGCTGCCAATGCTTGGAACACTGCTTACTGAGTTCTCCATGAGGTTTAGCGTCTGGAGGGGAGGATGTGGAGGGTAAGGGTGGATCAGGAAATTATAACAGGCATGTTTTCCCACCCAGGTTTGTTCAGTACAAAGCAACTTCCTTGGAGAAACAACACAAACATGACCTTCTGACTGAGCCTGACCTGGGGGTCACCATTGACCTCATCAATCCCGACACCTACCGCATTGATCCCAATGGTGTGTGGGGAGGCAGGGAGGGTCTGCTGTAGGCCTGCAATCCCAGGCCTGGGCATCCCTCACAGTCCTGCCCTCAATCCTTAGTTCTCCTGGATCCAGCTGATGAGAAGCTTTTGGAAGAGGAAATTCAGGCTCCCACCAGCTCTAAGAGGTGAGGTGGTGCCAGGTCCTGGGTGGGCTCTGCCGAGCGCGGAACCCTGAGGTACCTGGTCTTCTACTCCAGATCCCAGCAGCATGCGAAGGTGGTGCCATGGATGCGGAAGACAGAGTATATCTCCACTGAGTTCAACAGATACGGTATTTCCAATGAGAAGCCTGAGGTCAAGTAAGTAACAGGCAGGCAGGAAGGGAAGGGGGCCAAACTGTAGAGATGCCCAGAGGCCCCTAATGACTCTCCTCACTCCTAGGATTGGGGTTTCTGTAAAGCAGCAGTTCACAGAGGAAGAAATATACAAAGACAGGGACAGCCAGATCACGGCTATTGAGAAGACTTTTGAAGATGCTCAGAAATCGGTAACTGTGGGAATGGGATAAAAGCAAAAGTAGGGCTTGGGTTCTTCTTCTTTCTCACCCTTTTTGTTCTACCAGATCTCCCAGCATTACAGCAAGCCCCGAGTGACACCGGTGGAGGTCATGCCTGTCTTCCCAGATTTCAAGGTCAGGCTTGGGTAGGAGGCAGGGGCAATCTCCTGTGCCTATCCAGCCCACACTCACCAGTGTCTTCTGTTTCCCAGATGTGGATCAACCCATGTGCTCAGGTCATTTTTGACTCAGACCCAGCCCCTAAGGACACGAGTGGAGCAGCTGCATTAGAGATGATGTCCCAGGCCATGATCAGGTCAGTGGCCCTGCTTCTTGTTGCCTCTCCCCCATCTGGGTGTGTCTGAGATACAGTATGACCCTGTTGTCCAGGCTGACCTCTGACTCCTGGCATTCCTCTGGGATGCTGAATTTACAGGCATGTGTCACCATACCCAGCTATGGTTTTATTCTTCTTTTTCTTTGTTGTTTTTCAAGACAGGGTTTCTCTGTACCTTGGGAGACTGTCCTGGAACTTGCTCGGACCAGGCTGGCCTCGAACTCAGAATCTGCCTGCCTCTGTCTCAAGTGCTGGGATTAAAGGCGTGCACCTACACCGCCCACTTTGTTACTTCTTTGCCTTTAATCTTTATTCTCTTCTCCCCACAACCAGGGGCATGATGGATGAGGAAGGGAACCAGTTTGTGGCTTATTTCCTGCCTGTGGAAGAGACACTGAAGAAACGAAAACGGGACCAGGAGGAAGAGATGGACTATGCACCAGATGATGTGTAAGGGTTAAGTTTTGGGAATTCAGTATGTCCCCTTTACTCCTCAGGAGCAAATGGGTTGACTCTGACCTTCCACCTCAGGTATGACTACAAAATTGCTCGGGAATACAACTGGAATGTGAAGAACAAAGCCAGTAAGGGCTATGAGGAGAACTATTTCTTCATCTTCCGAGAGGGCGATGGGGTTTACTACAATGAGCTGGAGACCAGGTACTCAGCACTGTTTTACTAATTTGGTTCTGTATTTACTTACTTTTATTTTTTAGTTTTTCAAGACCTGGAATTCACTCTGTAGACCATTGGTCTCAAACTCAGAGATCCACCTGCCTCTGCCTCCCCAGTGTTGGGACTAAAGGTGTGCCACTACTATTCTTCTGGCCCCGAGGTCATTATATGCCTAAGAATTTGCTGGATGGATGTATTCGTGAGAGCAGGAGCCTGCTTATGAATGTGGGCTTGACCTGACTCTGGTTCTAATACCATAAACCAGAAAGGAAATCTTTACATGGTCATTTGTCTCACTCATGCTAGGCAAGTGCCCTGCTATTAAGATCCATCCCTTGTCTCAACGGTTTTGTGTTCAGTGGAGGCAAAAAAAAAAAAAAAAAAAAAAAAAAAAAAAAGAAAAGAAAAGAAAAAAGAAAAAACCAAATTTGCTACTTTCTTGTTTAAGAGTTGGGTAAAGGGCCTTGGGACCTTGGGAAATTACTTAGCAGTGAAGAGCACTGGCTGTTCTTCCAGAGGACCCTTGTTCACATCCCAGCTCTCACAGGAGCTAACTACTGCCTGCCTGTTAATGCTAGTTGCCAGGAGAATCTGGTGCCCTCTTCTGGCTCCTGAGGGCACTGCATACATGGCATATGTATACATGCAGGCAAAACACCCATTCACTTAAAAAAAAAATTAAAGCAAAAAACTTAACATTGGGTAAATCAAATCACAGACATTAATTCCCCATAGTTCTCATGTTCATTGTATGTATACTCTGTACTCTGGTATGCTCTGGGCCAAACATTGATAGGGAACCTGGGGTCAAGTGAGACTGTCTTTAACAGAATCTTCCCCCTTCTGCAACTGTCCACTGCAGGGTCCGTCTTAGTAAGCGTCGGGCTAAGGCTGGGGTTCAGTCAGGTACCAACGCCCTGCTTGTGGTCAAACACCGTGACATGAATGAGAAGGAATTAGAAGCTCAGGTAACAAGTTCTCCTGGCCTAGGACCCCGCCGGGAGGCTAGTGGTGGGTAAGGATAGGGTCAGAGGTATGACAGAACACCCTCCATCTCTTCCCAATTCATTGGTTCTAGGAGGCACGAAAGGCCCAGCTGGAAAACCACGAACCAGAGGAAGAGGAGGAGGAGGAGATGGAGGCTGAAGAGAAAGAAGCTGGGGGCTCAGGTAAAGGACTGGTCACACCCTGGGAGCTCTGGGAAGGCAGGCAATGGGGACCTCACCTGCCCCTGCTTCCTCGCAGATGAGGAACACGAGAAAGGCAGCAGCAGTGAAAAGGAAGGCAGCGAGGATGAGCGCTCTGGCAGCGAGAGTGACCGGGAGGAGGGCGACAGGGATGAGGCTAGCGACAAGAGTGGCAGCGGCGAGGATGAGAGCAGCGAGGATGAAGCTCGTGCTGCCCGGGACAAGGAAGAGATTTTCGGTAGCGACGCTGATTCAGAAGATGATGCCGACTCTGATGACGAGGACAGAGGGCAGGCCCATAGGGGCAGTGACAATGACTCGGACAGCGGCAGTGATGGGGGTGGCCAGCGGAGCCGCAGCCAGAGCCGGAGCCGGAGCGCCAGCCCTTTCCCCAGTGGCAGTGAGCACTCAGCCCAGGAGGATGGCAGTGAAGCTGCAGCTTCTGATTCCAGTGAGGCTGAGAGTGACAGTGACTGAGCCTCAAGGCCTTCTGAAGCCAGCTCTTGCAGATACCATTAGGGCAGGGAAGCACTTTTCTAGCTGTTTTGTGAGCCCTTTGTTTATCCCCACCCCTCGAGTCTTTGCTGTTAATAAAGATAACTTCTCTTGACTTCAGCTCCTAGGGCTTCTGTTCCTCTGCATCCCCTTCAGCCCATCACTAACCACCCCCAGGTGCTCCATGACCTCCACTTGAAGCACAAAAGCAAGGGCCCATGGACTTCCCAAGAAATGCATTGCAACAAAAATCAGAATGTTTGGTTTTGTTTTGTTTTTTTTTTTTTCCAAAATAAGCCCAGACCATTAACAATTGAAACTCCAACAAATAAGTCTTCTCCAACAGCGAGAAAATGTACAGTTACTCAAAGCTGATTCTGCCAGTGGGGCTGGGGACAGAAGTGGGTAGGGTAGGGTGAAACCATGGAGGGGGGTGGGGGAGGAGGAGGCTCAGGGTCCTGCCTGTCAGAGTGGGGCCGCCTGCGTCCTGCACTCTGCTGTCAGGTGGGGGGCAAGCTCTCACCTCCCTCTGGGGGAGGGTATCCCTCACCACCTGCCAGTGCCAAGCAGGGTCAGTCACCCTGATGGGAAGTGAACAAGACAAGACTAGACCAGCTCGTGGAGGTGAGGGTCCCATGAGAGGGAAACCTGCTTGTTTTAAACAGGTGGCCTCTCACCCCACTTCCCAGTTAGTGGGAGGGGCCAGAGAAGCCTGGGAGTTAGAGGGGAATGAGCAAAGGCACAGAAACCTGGAGGGCCGGGGTGGGGACTTGCATAGGTTGATGAGTGTGCAAGAGGTACATAAATACACCTGACACCCCGCCCAGCCCGGCACTGGGAGAGGTGGTGGGGACCACAGGCAGGTCCCCATTGCCACTCTACCCCCTGGCTTCTCCCTCCCTGGGCTCAGAGCTGGGGAGGGCCACAGACCAGGAGGCAGGGGCAAGGTCTGGGGAACGGGCTGATAGTGCAGGGAAGGCTGTGGTTTTTTTTTCTTTTTTTTTTTCCTTTTTTTTTTTTTTTTTTTTGGTTTTTTGTTTTTTCCCAACATTTTGTATCTTTAATAACATACACAATGGTTACCAGCCATATTCATAACAAAAGTTATTCATAAAATGTATCTAAAAATAACATTTTTTTCCTTTTCGTGTGAAAAGCTTGAGAATGTCCCAATGAGGGTGTAGGTTGAGAAGGGGAGTCTGGAATAGGGAACCCTGGCTTCCCCACAGGCCGAACCCCCCAAATTCCCTCCCTCCACCTGGGCCCCAGCACCAGCCCTCATCAGTAATGGGGCAGAGGGTCTGTGTGACTCAGGCTGGGCCGCACCTCGGGGTTATGATATAGTGTTCCACTTACATGAGGTCATGACATAACGGGGGTTGGGGAAGGCTGACAGAAAGAGGGGATAGGCAAGAAAACAAAAACCCAATAATCCCCTTTCCCTGGTTTCTACCCACAAGTCTTTTGCCAACAGACCTGGGGAGCAGAGAAGGGTTACGTTGGTGGGGGAAGGGGACATTAAGGCAACGGACTTCCTGACCTCACTGCGGGCCGGGGCTGCCCACCTTCAACCTCTGCATCTGGGAGCCAGGGCTGGGATGGGGAAGGGCAAGGGGGTCTGGAGGAGGGGGCTCTGCCCTCTCCTCTCATAAAGTTCAGGCTCCCCCTGCCACTGTCCTGGCTCAGAGAGAGGCCTGGGGATTCTAAAAATGAGAGGGAATGATCAGAGAAAAACCGTTAAGAACTATATAAATATGTATCTTAAATAGGCCTAACAAATTAATTGTAGAGAACCTCTGATGAACAGGGCAAGAAGAGGGGGGAGGAAGGTGGTGACTGCCCTGGGGAACGGTAGGAATGGCGAAGGGCAGGGACAAGGGGAGAGCTCTTCTCCAGTGACATACTGGCTGTCCACACTGCTTCCCCCACCGTCATGTTTCTGGAGGGCAGGCTGCACAAGGTGGTGGTCAGTCTGTCTCTAAGGAAGTCTGCTCTCTCGGGGAAGGACAGGTGTCAGCAGTTTAGAGGCAGGGGTGGGGGGTTCGGGAGGGAAGGAGTAGACAGTCTGGCCAGTCCTTGCCCCTTGCCCCTGGCTGCCCTCTCTGACCCCCGGCCTAAGCTGAGATCCCTCAATGGGCCTGGGAGTGAGCAAGGCGTGTGCCAATGTTAAACAAAAGTTAAGAGGATGAGTAGAAAAATATCAGAATGTATAGCTGCGCCAGCCCACCCTCTCGCTGCCGAGAAGAAGCCTGTTGGGGGATGGCCCCCGCCCGCCGCCCAGGGAGCCTATGGGTGCGCTGGGCTGTGGGTCCCGTCAGATGGTGGAGGTTTTGTCTGTCCCATCTGTGGTGAGAAAGGGAGGAAGGGAGGAAGATCAGGAGCTGGTGGGAGGCCTGAGGACAGGCACTCACACAGCCTGTCATCCCAGGCAGGCCCTCCCTGGAGTCTGGCCTCCCCTCGGGACCCTCAGGATGGCTCCAAGTTGCTGGGTTCAGAGCTGGAGATGCTGGGTAGGTGGGAGCTAGGTCAGGGAAAGAGGAAATGCTCACCACCCAAGGCGTGTTCTGTCATGCTCAGACACAGAGACTCCAGGGTGGGATTGATCTCCAGGTCAGGCCCAGGTACCGGGCAGTCTGTGTGGGAGAGAAGAGAATGATGGTGGTGAGGGGAAGCCAAACAGAAGGCAGAGGGAAGGCATGGGAGACAGAGAATGCTCGCATAGGCCCGGGGCCAAGAGATAAAGAGCTCAGAAAGCATGTATACACAGGGCTGGAAGACATGGCCAGGAAGAGCAAACCCAGGCCTAGGAGTGTCGCAAAGAAGGCAGAGAGACAGCCAAGGTAGGGGTTTGGCAAGGCAGGAAGGGCCAGACTTTTCAGACAGAGGAAGTGATGTGAAGCCGAGGGAGCGTTCCTGGAGGCCACACACGGGTTTTGACTATTACGGACATGGATTCCAAGTTGCCTTGGGCAGTTTGGGCACCTGCCCCAGACACTGGGCAGCTTTCTGCTGACTGATGGCCCACCCTCTGTGCTTGGTGTAAAAGCTAAGCTAAAGCCCTTCCTGTGCCCACTTGGACTTATTCCTCCAGACAAGATGTAAGACAAGATGTAAGCCAGGCAGGCTCAACAGGTACCCTGAATAGGACAGCAGCCACGGAGCCTATCCTCAAAGCACTTCTCAAAAGGGCCTCCTATTTAGCATCCGCAGGAGAGCTCAAGTCTCACACTGCTAAGCACTTTATCTCATCTCAGGACACCTGAGATTTGAGCCGTACTCCTAGGGTCTGACTCCTGCCTCAAGCCTCTTCTTTCACCCCCAGCCACCCTGAGGTTAATCCTAGGGAGACCATGGCCATCTCTTTAAACCCGAACACTCTTTGAGGCTGACTGGTGGCTGGTGAGGTGAGAACAAACTTGCGCAGCCTGCCCGTGAGTGTCAGGGAGGCCTCCACCAACACGTGCAGGAAGGCTGCCTGCCAGGCCAACACCCTGGCTGGGACAATCCCCACCGTTTGCACATGTAGCACATCCATTCATTCAACATCATTTACACAATATATGCTCCTAGTGTGCCAAGCCCTGCCCTGGATGAACACACTCTCTGGCACCACAGATGGAGGCCTACAGTATTTCATCAATTCAGAAACTTCACTGGCTACAAAGTTTCTGAGTGCAAGAGCCTAGATCACCTGCAAATCTGAGACCTGTCCAGAGCTGTCCACTGAAGCCAGCTTCTTGTCACAGATGCCATGCCTAGGCCACACATGTAGGAATAAGCCCAGCCAGGAGCCACTCTCCCTTGTCCAGTAACAAGGGACCCAGAGCTAGCATACCTTTGATCTGCCACCTGCCACTCAACCCTCCTGACTTCTGACCTCTAGGCTGGTGTGAGCAAAAGAGAAAAAGCCCACCTTCACCACAGAACCCTCACTAAGAGGTAGAGTCATTGGTTCCAGCAGTCACTAGCCTCTGACAGAAAAGGTGGGCTGACAGGGAAGAGAGCCCCAATAGTCTTAATAGACATAGAAGGAAAGGCCTCCCTAAAGACACAGGGAGATGGGAGAAGGCACACACCCTGCAGAGACCTACTACAAACCCAGATGGAAGAGTGGATGAGACCCGGATGAGGAGAGCACTGAGGAGGTTGGCAAGGACAAATGCCAGAGCCGGGCACCTCACCTGGAGGGAACATGAGAATAGCCTGCGGTGATGAGTGGACTGGGAGCGAGTGAGTACGCTGCACAGAGCTACGGCTCTGGCTGGGCATGCTGTTACTGCCTCCAGGGTTGGCAAACCACAGGTTCTGCACAGAACACGGGGAGAAAGTGTCAGGGTGAGTGGGAGAGACTCAAGAGGCCCAAGAGCTGAGGCCCAAGACACACATCCCAGCAACTGCCACCCCAACCCCAGAAGCACTTGGGACTTCCATATCAGCGAGCTCACCTGTCGGCCCTGACCCCCAAGACTGGGGCTGGTAAGGGCATGTCGAGGAGAGACACCCCCAATGCCTGACGGGCTCAGAAGGCCCATCCTGCCAGGTGGGAGGGCCCGAGGAGGCATTGGGAACTGCCGCTGGGTCCGCCGGGCCACACCCATCCCCACAGAGCCAGCTATGGGGAGCGAGTTGGAGCCAAATGCCCAGCTGTTAGAGAACAGAGGGCAGGGTGTTAGCTTAGGCAGAAGGGCACACATCTTTTATCCTTCCCTCAACGCTAGTGAGTAGGACAAAACACCAATCTGCTCTTAGCAAGGATTCCCTGACAATGTCCTGTAGCCTAGATTCCTGTATCCTCTTGCTCCAAGATGGATTTGGGGAGCACAGAGTTTCCTTGCTGTGCCCTCAAAGCAGTTCTCCAAACCTCACCTCTCAATGATTTTGTGTTGTCTGGTGTTGAGAAGGTACCTCAGGGCCTTCTGCATATAGTTGAGGAGACAGGCACAGGAGCAGGGTCTACTCCACAGACGAGCTGGGTTTGGGCCACCTCAACACCCTCCTGCTCTTTCTTTTCTGTGGTGGTGGGATAGAAGCCAGGACCCCAGCCCAGAAGGCAGCTTCTCTGTATACAATGCCCCAGCCCTTGCACACTTGTTCAATCAGACTAGCTGCCTTTCTTTGCTCTCTCTTCCCCAAGTCAGGGCACACTCCCCATAGCTCTTTCTCTTTGGAACAGAGAGCTGCTAACAAAGTATACAATGGATCCACAAGATGGCTCAGCAGGTAAAGGTGCTTGCCACAAAGACTGAAGGACCTGAGTTTGACCCCCCTCCCCCCACGAACCCAGACAGGGTAAGAGAACTGACTCCTAAGCTGTCCTGTGATCCTCACATGTGCACCATGGCATGTACTTGCACACACACACACAAATAAATGCTGAAAAAGAGTACTGTGCTGTGACCTTCCTCTCCCTCTAGTAGCTTCAAAGCAAGTTCATGGTTCTATCCAGGACCTACTTCTATGTTCTGCAGCATATAAGCTAGATCATGTGGCATAAATCTGGTCATCTCCCTGAAAATCTGTTAAGAGCCAGAACCCCACTTTATTCTCCAGATTTGAAAGGAAAGCTCCCTCTCCATCCCCTCAAAGTTCCATTGTTGGGGCCTATTGGCCATGATGATACATCTCCCCTAATGAGCCTCTCTGAACTGAGGACCTATCTCCCTCTTCTGGGTCCCACCTCTTAAGAGCTTTTTCTGAAGGGTAATCAAATGTCAGCACCTTTCCATCCCGCCAGTCATAGAAATCTACTCGCCTCCACCTTCTGAGTGCTGGGATTAAACTCCTGTGCTACCACACCCATCCTTTTTCTCCCTTCTTCCCTCCGTTTTTTTTGAGACAGGGTTTCTATGCAGCCCTGGTATCCTTGAACTCAAGAGATACAATTGCCTCTGCCTCCCAAGTGCTGGGATTAAAGGCGACCCACCACACCTGGCCTTCTTTTTTCTCTTTTCTGTTGTACATCATCATGATTTTCTAGAAGCTCTGTACTGGGTGATTTGAGTACATATAGCCAGGGGCCCATTCCAAAACACAATCACCCTTTTAGGCACCCACATGGCAATTCCACGGGGCTAGGGAGGTGTCCACCTACCCTTTTTGCTGTCTGTAGTTCTGCATGTCCAGTGCAGCCTTGCGCGGAAACGTTCGGAGGAGTTTCAGCACTTGCTGCTTCCAGGACAGCAGCCGCTTCTTCTGTGTCTCTGTGAAAGCCTAGAATGGGGGAGGAGGATGCTGGACAGAGGACCATGCCTACAGGCTAGCTGGGGGAGACAGGTATGCAGTGGTAACTCAGTGCAGTCATCTCTCCCTGTGAGCATGAACAAGGAACCCTGAACCAGCAGGAGTGTTTCGTGAGGTGACTTGAGGAAACTTGGACTCCAAGCACTAACACTGAGAATAAGTGGGAGGTGGCCACTTGCCACAGGGTATGTACAGAAGCTGAGAAGCCTTTGAAGGCAATACTGGAGAGGACAGGCTGGAACCTGGGCCCCGATGCACTGTGGGCTCAGAAAGAGTAGAGCAGTTTCTTTCCCTCTTGCAAGCCCTACTGAAGGTCTTACCTCGTGAGTCAGGCACTTTTCGATGAGCTGGAGGTAACTGGTGATGTTCTCCTCGTCTGGTCGGGACACCAGCAACTGGGTGCATACTGAGGAACATGGGAAAGGGCAGAACTTAGTCCCAACACAACCTTTATCAGACTGCAGCCTTCCCAGTACTAGCTGGTGGGTGCAGAAGGACAAGAAACTTGGGCTCATGAGGAATTCCTGGGCTTTGAAGGAAAGGACTAGTTCCATCAGTCCAGAAAGATCTGCAGGAAGAGGCCTAGCTCTACCCAGTTTCAGCTACTTTCAGGTTCATTCAATTCTAGGGTCTTTAGGCACTGGCTGCTCTCACCTTTGCCCATCACCCGTGTAAACTGGCTGGGGATGTCTCCGTCGGCGACGGGAGCTGGGGCTGGCTCACTGCTATCAGAGGGAGCTGGAGCTGGTGGAGGAGGATAGTTCTCTGCAGCTGGAGGGTCCTTGGCCTCAGTGCCCTTGTCTGTTCCAGGGTGGGTGAGGGGAGGCTCAGCACCTGGCAGTAGCGGCTCCCCACGACCCCCATCCTTGGCAGTAGGGGTGGCCTGAAGGACACTGTAGGCCTTGATTGGGGTGATGATGATCTGCTGCAGCTCCTGCAGAGCATTCCGCAGATTGCCACCTTCCAGCACATCCTGCAAGGGAGGATGTAGCCAGGTCAGGCACAGACCTCATGGTGGCACAGAAAGATGGCTACACAACTGTGCTCAGATGAGGCTCAGAGGTTCCAGCACAGAGGTCAGATCAGGGAAATTCTGGCTCATCAGCCAGGGAAACTAAGACAGCAAGGGAGGAGGGAAAACAAAACAAAACAAAACAAAACAGGAGGTAGTGGGGAAAGGAGAAGAGGAAGATAAATGGAAGCAGAGGCAAGATCAAGTGGAGGAAAAAGTCAAATGGAAAGATCACCCCCAAAATAAAAACCTATCAGGTGTAATGTTAAAAGATGGAGACATTCTGGAATCACAATCAGGGCAGGGAGGAAAGAGAAGAGGAGAGTGCAGGAAGGAGCCTCTCGGGCAGCACCAAGTGAGCCCTTTGATGACAACTTGCTCAAGGTCTCTGGAATCCAGCTGTCCATGGCTGAGGCCACCAGAGGTCAGACTGCAGAAATGAGGCGGTCTAGGCAGCTGCCAACAAGGCTGACCCAAAGCCTTCCACTTGCCTGTACACTAGGCCTTGGAGATGAGGATATCAGGTCCTCACCTTCTCTAAGGACTTGAGGACGCTCTGTCTCTCACGAAGCTTCTGGATGCTCAGTGCTATCTTGTGCCGGGCACCTTTGGTGACATTCTGTGATGAGGATAGAAGGAGACAGACAGGAAGCTGGATAAAGGTGAGGTACACAGGGGTGTCCCAACAGAGACCAGGGACAGAGGAAGCTTGACGGCAGGAACAGCAAGCACCCAATGGTGCTGGCCCAACACCTACCCAGTGGTCCCTCAGATTTACCTGCGACTCTAGGTGCTGCTCTGTTAGAGTCATCATCTCTTCGTAGCTCATCTGTGAGAACAAAGCAGCATACTTGTGCAAGCGGAGGCTCTTGAGCCACGAGGGCACGTCTGTGTAAGAGGGAGCGGAGATCAGGAGATGAATACTGGTGAAGGGGTGGGGGTGGGGAAGAGATCAGGCATAAGCCACCAGCAGCCTTTGAAACTACAGTGAGTTGGGAGAGGTTGGGTCCAAAAGCTGCCTCTACCTGCCTAGTGAGGCCCTTTCAGACAGTCTTCCCCAGGAGGACTTCTGACCCACTGAGAGCTGCCAGGATGGCCCCCATGATTTAATCTCATCTATCAATTATCTTGAGCTCTGGCTGGCTGTGAGGGAGGGGCTGTGAGGGAGGGGCTTCAGACCTGTTCCCTTCCTGAGGTGGCAGCTACAAGCAATTTTCTGTCCTTCCAGCCCAGCCCAAGTCCTGAAGAAGGGTTCTGGCACTGTCCTCTGAATGTACCTTTCATCCCGCTGCCATCCTCCTGGAAAGTGTTCCGGCTGGAGCCCTGCTCCTCCGTCTGCTCACTGCCAGAGGAGGCCACACTGCTCTGTGGCGAGAGGGGTGCGTGGTCGGGCGTGGTGAAGGCAGCCCGGGCCCCAAGCTCCTCTGGACTCGGCCACTCACCAGGGGCCTGGGGGCTTGTAGGGATGAGTGACATGGAGCGCTTCAGTGGGCTAGGGTGGATTTGGCAGGGGAGACCTGGCCAGAAAAGGAAAAGCAAGGTCAGTTTGGGAGATTTGAGCATAAAAAAGACCATGGTCCGCTCAATCCTGTAATCCTCCAAGGGGAAGGGAAGGAGCCAAGGGGTCCCAAGAGCATCTGTCTACAGGTACTGTTCAACCTCCCGCCCCAACACCCAACTTCTCACTCCTTTGCTCACACTCTCATCCAAACACCAGTGGCTGTGGATGGAATTGCCATGCCTAACTGGATTATTCCCTTCATTCTTACCCCCTTGCCTTACAGCAGCCATGCTGATTATTTTCAGGGGTAGGGGCTTTTTAGAGATCAGTTCTTAACTTTGCAGCCAAGTTGGCCTTAAACTCAGTGACCTTTCTATGGGTTGGGGTTATAAGCATATACCACCATACTCAACTAGACACCAACACTTCCAAATTTGCAAGTTTGACCTGTTTAGATCCTGGTGGCTTTCTTCATGCTGACAACAAAATCTGCACTATACAGATCTCACTATACAGCTCTGGCTGACCACACCTCATGACCCTCCTGCCTTAGTCTCTCATGTATTGGGATTATAGGTGGGTACTTTCACTCCTAGTTAATGAACTGCTTCTCTAACATCTCTGTGACTGGGCCCTATATCTCCATTTTTTTTCCTGGACTGAATCCAGACTGACCAGCTAAGAGGCCTGATAACTCAGGATCTGAAGTCAGTACCCTCTTCCCCAAACATGTCACGCTCTGTCCACTCCATTTCTGAGGTTAGCAAAGGGCTCCAAGTTGATTCTCTAGACAGTGCAGTATCCTCTGAACACCTTTTCACTGCCTTTTCCCTGCCCTAGTACTGCTTCACCGTCCTTTTCTGCCTCTGCCTCTGCGACTTGCTCAAGCACCTCCTTTTGGCTACTGCAAGCCAAGAACCTGTACTGGTCTGTAGACTTAGGAAGGAGAACAATCTGGCCCATTCGTGTTTGCACCCCAGGCTCATGCGCAGGATGCAACACACAGGAGCCTTCCAACTGAGTTTCATAAATGACAAATGAATGCTAATAGGGCCTGTGAGCTCAGCACAGGGAATCCAGAAGTTCCTGTGGCCGCCTAGAGAGAAACAGACAAAGTCAAAAAGCCTGGTTAGGTGAGGACAAGGCCAGGAAGCTGGGCTTTTTTGTCTCAGTTCCCACAGGGATTAGGACAGAAGAGTACAGCATGGGTCTCTGCAAGAGTGACCTCCCACCCAGAAGTAGGACACCCTGGCACAGACCCCAAAGCACATTCTGCTAAAATCTGTGACAATATTTGATGCTTTTAACCAGAAAGTTACCCAAGGGAGAAGACACCGACTGCCCCCACTACACACAGATAGTGTCAGACTCTGCTATTGCCCAGGGTCTGTTGGAGTCCGCTACTCAGGGCTCCTTCCAAGTTTCTGGACACTGTGGACTCTGGCTTCTGCCCCATTTTGGGGCCTCTTGGAAGAAGATGGCACTCTGGGCCCCAGAGCTGGGAAACCCTCAATACAGGCCTTTGTGCCTGCCTTGGTGCTCCTGGCTACCTCCTTCCTCCCTTCTCAGCCAAGAAGTGGGCTGGTGAGACTGAGAGGGCAGGAAGTGACCCCGACTGGAGTGACCATGCAGACCCTGAGGAGCCCTGCTTGGCCTGCACTGGGGTGGAGGCTGGCCACTGCCTGAGGATTATAAAAACAGGAATGCAGGCTGCAGATCCATGGCCTCATACTCTCCAAGAAATCCTGGTCTGTCCTTGGCAGTACACCAAACTCACCCTGCCTGCCCTCCCAGGCCAATCTTTGCTTCCCACTCAAAAATATTTTAATGGTTTCCTGCTTCCTGCAACTGACTGGTGTCCAAAAGTTTCATTTTATCCTTCAAAGCCTCAAGCAGTAGCCTTAAAAATCTGACTTCAAATTGTAACTCTACTCTCTCTGAAATCAGTGCTCCTTGGACAGGATTTTGTCTCTTTGTCCATATGAAATACTCAATAGACACAAGTTAGCATAGCATGCACCCATATGATCACTGGAAGAATCTTAAGACCTGCTGTACGCTGATGCTCTACTGAGCACCATCATGCCTTTCCATCACGGTGTGGCTTCTACATAGAATGTCTCATTCTTTTCTCTTTTGGTCCAAGTTGCCTGGAGTACTAGAGCTGTAGCTCAGTGGTAGAACCTTATCTAGTATAGTATAGTCAAGATTCTGAGTTCAACTCCTAATGTGGCCAAAAGGAAAGGAAAAACAAAAGAGTCTAATAAGGTTCTGAACTAGGGAGCACAGTGGGTGAGGGGTAGTCACGGCATGGTCATCTTCAGGAAGAGGCTGTGCAGTATAGGTATTTAGACTCTGGATTTAATTCTGACATCATCTTGGGCAGATGCCTTCTGAGCCTAAGCCGAATTTTAGAGTTTATATTTATGAAGTCCTCAGAATAGCTCCTAGGAAAGTGTAAGTACTTCCTAGTCAGAACACATAATATAGACTCCAAACCTGGTACAGGAAGTGTGGTAGTCCAAAGCTAGAACACAAATCCAAAGTGAACAGGATTGCTAACGTTCCCTGGAAATTCCTGGAGTCCTCTATCTTCCCTGGCCTACTTTAACCAGTGCCTACTGAAAGAGACTGACCACCTAAGGCTTAATTGTGAGCACTCACCTTAATTAGGTCATGTCACTCATCATGGCTTAGAAAAGCCAGTGCCTTATACTGTTCATCACAGCTAACACTTTTAAAGGCACCTCAGTACCAGCTCCTGTTCTACCCAACCTCTGGGCTTAACTGGCTAGTAGACAGCACTGGTCAGAGGCAGCTGTGGTCCAGACTGCTCAAGTCTGAACCTTGGCCCATTCCACTACTTGTTCTACATATGATCTCACTCTTTGCATTCTACTGTCCTCATTTGTAAAATCATAGGCCTAATGGTGTGTAAGGAGGCTTAACGGAGACTGTATTTGTAATAGTGCTACTGGCACCAACGTTCAACTCTAAACAGCACATGCTCTGCAGTGTCAAATTTACAGACACACTTCTCATGTTGGAAGCTAAGACCAGAGACCAAAAGCCCGAGTGAGCTAAAGAGACCTCAGGTGATGGTATCCATCTCTGCCTGGGGTCTTCAGAAGCCAGTCAGTATCAGAAGTGTTGACAGAGCTGGAGATGGCTCAGTGGTTAACAGCACATAATAGCTCACAACCATCTGCAACTCTTGTTCCAGGGAACTCTCTTCTGACACTGTATGCACACGGTACACAGACAAGCTGGCAAAACACCCACCCACCCATAAAAACAAAACAGGAAAGAAACGCTGCGAGGGCCCAGGGGCTCATGTGTAAGCATAGCTCCTCAGCTCTCGAACTGTCACTAGGAACACAGTCTTTTCTAGAGAAGCTAGAAATCTGATTTTTAAAATTTTGTATACTAAGTTTATTTAAAACCAAATCAAACGTGAGTTCCTAAGACATATCTATCTATAGGTCAGTCAGCTCTGAGAAGGCCAGTTCACCACTCTGTACCGCCTCCTTTATAACACTGAGGTCCAAAAGGGTAATGGGACTTGCAAAGGCCACAGAGCAAGAGAAGACAGCCCACATGGCTTTTCCAAGTAGGTACAGCCACCTAGGAAGGCAGATCTCACCTGGGTTTGCATTGCTCCCAACACTGTTGATGGCTGGCGGCACTGAGCTCGACGGGTGAAAAGGTACATGTCCGTTTTCCCGGGGTGGCTTGTCCTGCCAGCCTGGTCCTGCCTCTCCAGGGGCCAGCTCTGCAGGACCCCCCCATTCATCTGAGCCCTGGCGTGAATGGTAGGAGGGCTCTGGCCGGGTACGAAAACCACTAGCCAGCCGCTCCTCCAGGTGGCTCAACCAGAGGGCGAGCGCATTGCGGTCCTCCAGTGTGGTGGCTGGATGGATGAGGGCATAGGAAAGGAGTTGGCGGCTCTCCTCAATGAAGGCATTGCTCTCGATGGAGTAGGCCAGCACCTTCTGCAGAAGTCTCATGTACTCGGACTTGGCCTCTGTGTTGCCTGGCTGGAGCAGGGGCAGGTGGGATAGCAAGAGGGACACCACCTTCTCTTTGGACTCCTGTTGCCACTGGCTGACGATGGCTACAGCGGGAATAAGAATGAACATCAGGAACATGAGTAGATAGACACTACCAAAAACCTCAAAGCTCACGGTCTCTTCCTCAGCTCCAATCTCCTCTATTGTTCCCATGTATACCCTTGACAGTATGTCCCTCATAGAACTGAGATCAAGTGCATGCTCCCTGCTTCTAAAGCCATTTTTTCCTAGTTCTATCACTCCTGTCCTCAAAAACCTGCAGTTACCTCTAATCCAGTCAGGCACGTGGAAGCTCCTCCTACTACATGAAGATTTGTTCCTTTGCTGTATCTACTTGCCTGCCCCCATCGCCATACTTCCCTTCCACTATGAAACAGCTTCCTGCCTAAATTGAGAAGGTGGTGAAATACAAGTTAAAAGATTGTTCTTAGCCAGGTAGTAGTGGTGCACTTGCGAGGCAGAGACAGGTGGATCGGATCTCTGAGTCTAAGGCTAGCCTGATCTACAGAGCAAGTTCCAGGACAGCAAGTGCTACAGAGAAACTGCTCAAGAAACCTCTCCCAGTCACCCCTCCTCCCACCAAAAAGAGCTTGTTCTCTGGTATAAGATGGTCCAGATTCTTCACCAGTTAGATTTTAGGCAAGTCATCTTAAATCTCACTGAACAGTCGGTGGTGGTGCATGCCTTTAATCCCAGCACTCAGGAGACAGAGGCAGGCAGATCTCTGTGAGTTTGAGTCCACCCTGGTCTACAGAGCGAGTTCCAGGACAGGCTCCAAAGCCACAGAGAAACCCTGTCTCAAAACAAAATCTCACAGAACAATGATTTCCTTTATTTGCTTTTGGAGGTAAACTCTTTTATGTAGTCCAGGCTGTCCTTGAACCTCCTCCCAAAATATTACTACCTATAAAACTTCAGAGAAGATTATAGAACCTGATTCACTGTGTTGGTTCGAGATTCAATGAGCTAATAAGAAAAGTAAAGTGGGGGCAGGTGAGATGGCTCAGTGGGTAAAGAAAGGCACTTGTTTCCAAGCCTGAGTCTGATGAACTGAGTTTGATTCCTGGGAACCACACCCTAAAAGGGACCAGCTCCCCACCAGTTGTCTTCTGACCTCCATACTGACATGCTGTACACACCAGTATCCCCCAAATGGATAAATTATAAACAGATACTAAAAAGAATGGGATGTGGCCTTGACTCAAAGGTGCAAGTAAAGAGTTGCTGCATTTTTAACTGGTCTCTCTGCCACCAAGTGACAACCTCCAAATTGTCCTGTCCATACATGTGGGTTTATCTTCCTCAACCACACTCAAATCATATCAGTTTCTGTTTACAAGTTTACTATGGTAGCCTGCACCAGGATTCAACTCCAAGAACCCACAGCCTAACATCCACTTGTCATCAGCTACAGACTCAGCAGGGATGCCCATCCCACCTTCCTTGAAGCTCTCTACAACTGTGTTCATCCAAGCTTCCAGTTAGGCTGAGATTCAAGGATTCAGCTGCAATAACCTTTTTCCTAGCCAAATCCTATGTCTTCCTCTCCATCCCTAAACGTATGAACTCAGCCTGAAGCCTTAACTATGCTAAAAAGCAGTCAACCACTAAGGTACACCCTCATCCTTCTTTTTACTTTGCATTTTAAGATAGGACCTCACTAAATGACCCAGGCTAGCCTTGAACTCATTGTGTAACCCAAAGAGGCAATGAAGTAGCAATCCTCTTGTCTCAGTATTCCAATTAGCTGCTATTATAAGCCTGAATTAACAAGGCCCAGACTGGTTAGGCTGTGTGTGTGTGTGTGTGTGTGTGTGTGTGTGTGTGTGTGTGTGTGTGTGTGTGTGTGTCCATGTACCATAGTATACTCATGAAGGTCAGAAGACAACTTATAGGAGTTGATTCTCCCTATATATTGTGCAGGGGTCTCAGGCTCACCTGCAAGTGCCTTTACCAATTCTGTGAGCCTTGCTTGGTTATTTTAACATGACATACAAAAACAATACGAAATACTTCATAAATGTGAGTATCAACACCGCACAGAACTCATGTTTTCTCTGTATTGCTCCAATTTTAGCGTATGTTAAAAGTGAGCTCCAAATTGCACACTTTTTCCCCCTTTGAGACAGGGTTTCACTAGGTAGCTCAGGCCGGCCCCAAACTCTAAATTCTCTTGCCTCAGCTGCCTGATGCCCCACTGTGCCCAGCCTCAGCTCTACTGTATCTGTAAAGGGAACTCAGAATCACTCCTACTCAGTTTGGCTGCTAGGAACTAAATGAGACAGACCCCAGTTTAAATCAGATCTCAGGAAACTCTGTTTTTACTATTTATTACTAGTACTGTGGTTAGTTTGGTTTACTATGGTTTCTTCCTTTTCAAAAGTATACAAAAATTCTATAGGTATCAGCCAATCAGTCAGCCCAGGAAACAGAACAGGCTTTGGCCTCAGAAACCTAGATACTATCAGGCCTGATGGTGCAGGCCTATAATCCCTGTTCAAATTCAAGGCCCACCAGAGCTACAAGGTAAGTTTAAGAGTTCAAGGTTAGCCTTAGCAAGATCCTATCTCAAAAGAGAGAGAGAGAGAGAGAGAGAGAGAGAGAGAGAGAGAGGAAGGAGGAAGGACAAGAGGGAGCATACACTGGGGATGTGGCTCAGTGGTAGACAGCACATACCTGGCATATATGAGACCCCAGATTCAAGACTGGGGGAAAGAAGTCCTCTAGCCACAAGGCAGGATGGATACATAAAAACTAGCAAAGTTCTCCTCTGTACCTTTTGTCCTACTTCTGTGGCCTGGAATTCACATTAGTTTCTAATTCTACTTAAAACATGTAGCTCTTGGAACAAACCACAAAACTCACAACTCCTGGGACCTGGCCTGGCTTGCATATCCCTGCTCCATGCTTTCTTGGAGAGTTCCTGTTAAGTGCTGGGGAATTCATCCACTCAAAGCCATCAACTCACTTTATGACCACAGCATCAGCCCGAGAGTAACAGAGTAACAGAACTAGCATTACAGCAAGCACTCCTGAGGTCAGTGGTGGCTCATGCTAAGAACATGACTGCCATCCATCCTTACCTTATCCATTTTACTGTGCATATACACAGTAAGATTTGGGAAGCTGGCAAGGAACAAAGCTGAGAGCTAAGTTGCACGTCTTGCCCTGACAACTGTTAAGAAACTTATATTTTTTCATGTTATGTTATGTGCACAGTTCTGTCTGCACCATATGCATGCAATGCCTGTGGAGGCCAGAAGTGGATGTCAGAACCCCAGGTATTAGAGTTAAACCACCATGTGGGTGCTGGGAATAGACCTGGGCCCCTTGAAGAGCAGCCGGGGAGGAAACTGAGTCATTCCTCCAGGCTTACAGTGACTTTCTATATTCCAATGCCAACGCTCTCAGTCGTCACTCTTCTCATACTGTACCTGACACTCAAGGCTCCTTATGCCCACAAAACTCTTCCTCCAACCACTGCAACATTTAAAGGTCCAGCTGAAGTGGAGCAAGTTCTTCCACAAGTCAGGAAGCTGCTTTTTCCCAGCCTCTCACCTCCATTGGGCACTGGGTCACATAACTGATATCCCTCTTTTTTGAACCTACACTTCCTCAACTTTTCGTTCTTGATAAGAAAATATAGCATGAAGAAAAATGCAGTAATATTAAGGACAAAGTTAAAGGCCTTGCATTCCAGCTGTCAGAGCAACATGCTTCCTCCTCTGTAAAAGGAGTAGAGGGTTGCTGAGATCTGGGCTGCTCAGATTTAGGGAATGGTGTCTGTGAAGGATTAACAGTCTGCTTATAATAAATGTGCAGGATGTGGCTCAGTGATGGGTGTTTATCTCCATGCCAGTCCCTTCATCCTACCCCGTCTCCTCAATTGCTGTTGTTTAGGCCTTACAGTGTAGCCAGAGGCACCGAGGACAGAGAGAAGCCTTGTCTAAACTTTCCCCCACCCCCAGAGTACTGCCAGGACCCCAGGGCTACGGGATGCAGCTTCTCCTCTGGTACTGCCAGGGGACGTGACAGAATAGCCTCAAGGGTTGGGCTCAAAGAAGGACCTTGTTCTACTGCCCAGAAAGGAGAGAGTAGTTTCGGACCAATGAAGGCTGACCTTGGAGAAATGTGTGTGCATGTGCCTGAGTGGTGGTGGTGGGAAGGGCGGGCCTCCCAGGACTGGGAAGTATCAATGAGCACGGGAATGACTCCAAGGAATGTGCACAGCCTCAGGCCCCTTGGGGTGAGCCCAGCTGGGGCTACAGATGATGGGTGGGGATGAACTTCTAGTTCCCTGCCCAGATCAGAAAACTCTGGCCCAGAGTTAAGGTATAGCAGGGGCCCAATGAATACCTGCACAATTGAACCCAGATGGTCGTTGGTAGGCAGTGGTGTCTGTGTGTATAATGTGCCCTCTCTGAGATCTCATAATTTCAGTCATCCTGCCTTAAATTCTGGCAGAGCATATTCTGAAAATTCAAAAGGAAAAACCTGCCCGGGTAAAAAAATTTAAGCCAGGCAGTGGTGTTGCACACCTTTAATCCCAGCACTTGGGAGGCAGAGGCAATGGGATCTCTTAAGTGTAAGGCCAGCCTGGTCTACAGAGCAAGTTCCAGGACAGCCAGGGCTACAAAGCTCTGTCTCAAAAAAAAAAAAAAAAACCAAAAATCTATTTCTGTTTCCATGACTTAGTATATTGTAGCCATGGCCAGTCCTTTACATTCTCTGCATCTTGGTCATTTGTCTATGTAATACTGGCTGTAAAAGCCCCGAGGTCACAGGGTTGTAGTCAATGAAAGGGTGCAAAGCACCTGACATGAGCAGGTGATCTGTACTTAAACCCTCACCTCCACTGTTCCTGGGTAGTATCTTCCCCCAGGCTGTCTCAGGGGTGCTGAGCCAGTGGTTCACTTAGCAGAGAACATCTGGGACTCCCCCTTAAGATTCCCTACAGGGGTGGGGAATTTTACAAAATTATTTACCCAAAACAGACACAGGTCTGTTTTTAGAGTTAGAGGCACGATTTGTAGTGATGAAATTCTGGAGCTGGGTGAACAGGGGTTGGGAGACCCAGCAATGCTGGGATGCCAGCAGCTGCTCCTCTCTAGGCTGCAAATTTGAACTCTGAGGACATGGAGAGGGTAAAGGAGACCATAGGAGTGCTCTCCTTAGCACAGCAGCCACAGGGCAGGACTGGCCAGGCAACCCAAGTTAAGTAGGTCATGACCCTGGGTCCTGGCAAATCATAGCAGCCAAATATATCTTTGAGACTATCAGAAGAGCAAACCCATTTTTATGTGCTTAGCTCTTGCAACAGTCATGTTGGCCTCTGGCACTAGTCAGAGGGGCTGGGGTTTGGCTCCAGACATACCCTTCTGTCTCATCCCAGCTCACACAGACATCAGGGAGGACCGGGGTTCACATTTTTGTTTGATGAACTATGTCAATAGAGCCTGAAAGGAAAGGGTGGGGGCATCAGAGGATGAGCTCTGATGATTCACTTATCATGGCCCCTTCTGACCTCAGTTTCCCACCCAAATTCAGGGAGCCAGAGAGAGAGAAGCTTAAACCTGTTAGATAAGGGGGCTGACTAAGAAGACTGGACATGAGTAGAAGTGCAGGAAATGTAGCCCGGGGAGCCATAGGATGAGGGAGAAGAGATCTTAGCTGCCTAGGCTCAGTCTCCTCCTACCGGGGGAATCCACAGAACACTCTTAAGGTCGAAGGCACACTCAGTGAATAAGAGGGTCATGTTAGAGCTCCAAATGGCAGAGAAGAACTGGGAGCAGGATGATGACAAATGGGAACCCTAGGCCTCTCTGTCCTGGTTGGTGGTTTTTTTTTTTTTTTTTTTTTTGGTCAATCTGATACAAACTAGAAGTTTTCTGGGAAAATGCTTCCACAAGATTGGCCTGTAGGCAAGCCTGTGAGACATTTTCTTGATTCATTTCTCTGTGGGTAGGCCCAGACTACTCTGAACAGGTCGTTTTATGTGGTATAAGAAGGCAGGCCAAGCAAGGCATGGAGAAAAAGCCAGTGTTGCTCAGTGGCATCTGCTTCAGATCCTGTCTTGATGTCCCTTCAGGATGGGCATAAGCTGTAAGGTGAATAAACCCATCCCTCCCCAAGTTGTTTTTGATCAATGTTTTATCACAGCAACAGAAGGCAAACTAAGCCATTCTTCTGCTCAGGGACGAGGAGTCCTTCTTTTCTTTTCTGGCCTTGGATGTCACCTCAGATTCTGCTTCCTTAAAACCCATGTGACTACCTGGCCTTGGGGACATCCCCATGCCCTCCCAGATGCTTAAGTGGTCAGGCAGGCCTGGGCTGGAGTGCCCTTCCACAGCAGTAAACACATTTCCCTACTTCTGGTGGTCGTTCACATGACTGCTCACTCACAGCCTTCTTGGACACGCCCAGCACCCAACCTGCTACTTCCCCACTGGGTGACTATTAGGACCAACCTTGGAGTGTCACATCTAAGAGAATACCAGGTCCATTACTCTTGGGAGGTCCTTAGGGGACTGTAACATGAAGTCAAGACTAGGACATACTAATGTCAATTTTTCTCTGCTCCCTGAATTATCTAAGAAGATGGACAGAAACGACCCAATCCCAAAGATCGCACTAGAGAACTGGAGGAAGCAGCATTCTGACCTGAGGGGACCTTAAGAGATTCAGAGAAACTTCCACTGAAGTTTCACAGGAACAGGTACCAGCTGAACTTGAGATCTGGCTGGTTGGGTAAGTATGACTTTCATGACTTTCTGGGGCGAGCAGAAAATGGGCAGATACCATGATTGGGACACCCATTATGTTTCGTTTTTATTTTTTTTGTGTGTGTGTGCTGAGGATAGAACTCATGGCTTCACATTTGCTAAGCAATCTCTATACTCAACTACATCCTACCATGCATTAGATACTAAAAACTATTATTCTAGAATGTGATGGAACATCCTCCACAAAGAAAGTAGTATGCTCAGAATGGTTAAACCCACTATGGCACATCTACTCATAGCCAAATGAGCAGACCTTGATCTAGAACCCTCATGTGCCTACCATTCCAAGACAAGTAGATGGACTAGAAGGACTTGGTTCATCTTGGTCCTTATAAGAACCTGGACCCAGGCAGGTGGCCGTGCCACACACCTTTAATCCCAGCACCCAAGAGGCAGTGGTGGATCTCTAAGTTCAAGGCCAACCTGGTCTACAGAGTGAATTCCAGGACAGCCAAGACTACACAGAGAAACCCTATCTTGAACCTTCCCCAGACAAACAAAACTAACCTAGTTCCCATATCCCACTCTTAGGCCCATTCCCTCAGGAGTCTCATCTGTCCCCTGAGATTCTGATAATATGAGTGTGAGAATGAAGAGCCATAATGAGCAGAAAACAAACAAACAAACAAACAAGGATGAGAGGAGACAGTGCTCCTCCCAAGAGCCAGATCCCAGTTCTAAAAAGTAGAGACAAGTAGGAGAGTGGGGGAGTCTACCTAAGGGTGTAAGTGACAGGAGATGCCATCTCTTTAGTCTTAAGGCCCTCACTTCCATTAGGAAGAAGCATTCAAGGCCCCCACAGATGTGATGGTGGTAGTGGTGGTACATACTTTTAATCCCAGCACTTGGGAAGCAGAGGCAGGCAAATCTCTGCGTTTGAGGCCAGCCTATTCTACAAAGAGAGTTGCAGGACAGTCAGGGCAGTTACACAGAGAAACCCTATCTCAAAAAAAAAAAAAAAAAAAAAAAAAAAAAAAAACAGGTGTTCCCAGCACCCAGGAAGCAGAAGAGGCGGGTGGATCTCTGAGTTTGAGGCCAGCCTGGTCTATATAGAGTTCCAGGCCAGGCAGGGCTATAAAATGGGACCTTGTTTCAAAACAAACAAACAAACAAACAAAAAATCCCAGCCGCCAAACCTGTAACTCTGCAAAGCTAGGAGAAAATTTGTGTACTCATATTGCATAGACCATCTCATAAAACATGAGAATGGGGAAAGGAGGCCATACTTTAAACTTCTGTATCAACTGGTTTTACTTGGAGGTTCTGAAAATAAAAATCCTGAAAGTGCTCTAATAAATCAAAATCAACAACACTGCTAACTTGATATGGTGGTGCTCAGGATAGGGTAGTAGGGGGTGTGATGAAGCTGTGTAAAACACTGGCTTATTCCAAAGGAACACCACCTCACCGCTCCAGTGTGGGTAGTAGAGCTATAACACACACCTCCACCCTTGGGTGCCAGAGCAGGGACCCTGTTTCCTGGAGGGGAGGCTGGCAAGGATGGAAGATGGCTGACCGTTCTCTGTCTGCTTGACTGAGCATCAGGCCAATGTGACTCCTAATCTGTATAACTATCTTTTGTTGTGCCATAATGCTTCTGCAGCTTGTACATCCAACTCAGTAAGAAATAAGGGTGTTTCTATGATGACTGGGCCTGGGGAGTTAACAGACCAGGCAGCTCTGTGGTTCCCCAAATCCCAGTATTAGAAACCCATGCTGGAGTCCTCACTGTAAAATAGGAAGGGTAACAGTAGTAACTTCATAGGGTAATTCTGAGGAGTATAAGTGTGACTGACAATAAAAAACAGTTGATAGTCACTGAGTATTTACTGCTTACTAGGGACTGTGGGAAGAACTGCACCTGTATGAACTCACTGGCTCCTCCTAAGTACCCTAAACACAGGTGGAATTATCATCTTTAAAGATGAGGAAATTGAGGCACAGTTATGGCAAATAACCACTATGATTTCAGCCTAGACAATGTGACTCAAGAGTCACCAAAGGACTTGACACAGGTTAAGGGACCTTGGCTTGCAAGGGCTCCATGGGAACTGCTGTTATGAAGCTGAAGGTAGAAAGAACAAGAATGACTCTGCAAGGGATTCCTGGGTTCCCATCCCAGCTACTTTTTGGTTATCCACACTCTTCCCCTTCTCTGACCTCCATCTCCCACCTGTGTCACTGAGATCAGCAGCCCTGCACCCAGCTATGTCAAGCTATACACTTGCCAAGGCCCAGAAGGCCCTTACGTTTTAGCAGTATCCCTTGAGATGATTCTCTGGACTGACCTCCTGAATTCTAGGGACAGGTTCTAAGGATGTCTGGCGTACCCGTCCAAGTGCCAGCTTCAGTGGACAGAATGCCTCTCTACTGGCACTTAAAGAACTGACATGGAGGACTACATCTATATCCAAAACTCTCTTCAAGTTGTCATGGCCTGCAACCAATCTACTTTTGGAGCTGAAGGCTAACACCCAAAGCCTCTTCTATGAGTCCTGAGACCCTGCCTAGCTCTGGTGTCCTAGAGTTAGGAAAACAAATCATTACTCACCTTCTACCAGGTCACTCCAATGACCTGCCTGTTCCTTTTGGCAGCTCATACAAGCTACCCAACACCATCCTTCCTTTACATGGGTAGTTTCCAGTTTGTATAACCCTCCTGGGAATCCCCATTTCACACCTGAGGACAGTTGACAACAACACAGCCCCAGGAGACCAGACCAGCACATGGCACCCATTTCTCAGTGCTACTGCTGGTTGGTCACCGTGGCACCTGGCCCCTGGCCTTGTTCTCCCCACTGTACTCCCATCTCTAGGGGCAGAGACTCACCAGCACTGTTGGCCTCTGACTCCAGCAGGTGGATATCATTGCAGTCGGCTAGCGAGTGCTCCAGGCAGAGCTGCAGAAAGCGGGCTTGGGTACGAGTGACCCGCTTCAGAAGTGACAGCAGAGCCACTGTTTGCTCACACTCATTCCAGCCCTTGAACCAGCTAGCGAGGATGCCTACTTGGTCTCGGAACATCATGGTGCCAGGCCTGGGGCCAGGGTTGGGGGACGGCGGTGGCAAGGGCCAGCGCCGTCACATGGTCTCGGCTCTGGGCTCCTGTTATCTCTCCCCTAAGGGCCAGGGCTTGAGGATGTCCCCTGGCGTGGTGGCAATGGGCGGTGGGGGGGAGGAGGGAGCCTGCTTACATCAGGGGAGGTCTTGGTCCAGCCACACCTCTCCAGGCTCCTGGAAAAGAAAGCAAAGGGGTCAGAGGGAGCACAGGGGCTGAAGCTGTCAGATAAATATGGGCTGATGACCCTGTTCATGTTTCGTGGAGTTTGTTCTGAGTTCCTGGGAGGAAGATGAAGCCAGCAGCAGACACTGAACCAGCTCCTCTCCAACTGCAGACCCAGGAACAGCCTCGACTGGCACCCCAAGACCAGACCCTCAGAAACTAAGGGAAAGATTGCCTCACAATTGGACAGCACAGAGCCAAAAGAGGTTGACCCAAATCAAAGATTAAGTCAGAAGGGCATCCAGAAACAGGAAGGAAGAGACGCTGTGCATTTGGGAAAAGATCTGAATGAAGGGAGGTTTGGCTCAAGGTGACATGACAAAGCAGACATGTGACCTGGAACACATCTGACCTTGCTAGTCTCAGGCTGCATCCTGTCAGAGCTGGACAGTGATTGCTCACCAACAGGAAAGAGCCCAAGAGCTCCCTAATTAATTCAAACTGAAACCCACAATTCTGGCTCAAGGGTGGAAGGTGGGATGGTAACCCCACGAGAGATCCCCAGTATGCAGACAGTACAAGCTGACAGCAGATAACTATCTGGTCACAAATTAGCTGGTAAATGTGAGTCCTAGGGCATGAACTCGGACAGACCTGTTTAAAGATTACTACCCTGAAGGGCTATCATGCTCTTCAACACAGCTCTTCACTCTGTAACAAGCTTGGTTCTGAGCTCTAAGACTCCATCTTTCTACTATGAGGTAAAGCAACCTCCTCCTCTCCCAAGCCTTCCTCTTCAGTCCTTGAAGTCAGCTTCAGCCCAACTCTGAAGTGGAAGTCCCCCTGATTTTCAGGACACCAGACTGTTATCCGAGAGCCAACAGAGTACCAACCTGAAGGGAATGGGGCAGAATAAGAAGCAAAGACACTTGGCTGGAAAGTGGTGGCACAAGCCTTTAATCCCAGCGAGGCAGGGACAGGCAGGTATCTGTTGGTTCAAGGCCAGCCAGGTCTCAAAGCGAGTTCCAGGACAGCCAGGAGTAGACAGAGAAATTGTCTACAACAACAAGAAAATGTCCAAATTCCTCTTAAGCAGGAACTACACAGAAGTTTGAAATGGGCAAACAGCAGTTTTTCAGCTGGCTTGTTTCTAGACACTCCTCTGAGGCCTTTCTCAAATGTCTGGAGCTTAAAGTATCCACCTAACATTTCATCTGCTCTTGCAACCAGTGCCCTCAGTCCCATTCTCCAGGGCTGCCCAAGAACCAAGAACTCTATACACAGACTTATGGTGTACAGAACCAGCAGAGTCTAGACTTAGGGCATGGCTCCCATTATCCTGACTTTACACAGTCCTGCTGGGGATAGCTGTGTATGACTGGGATGCCTTGAAGAACCCCGCTGGATCTCAAGATAACAAACTAGTATAGCTATAAGTGGTTTTTTTTTTTGTTTGTTTGTTTTTTTGAGACAGGGTTTCTCTGTATTGCTTTGGAGGCTGTCCTGGAACTCTCTCTGTAGACCAGGCTGGCCTCAAACTCACAGAGATCCGCCTGTCTCTGCCTCCCGAGTGCTGGGATTAAAGGCATGCACCACCACTGCCCAGCTAGCTGTGAGTTCTTTAAGATGGAAAAAGTGGGGAAAAAGATGAAGGTGAACTTTGCTCCAAGTTTCACAGGTCTCCCACCAGTAGTTTTAAAGGAGAAATCACAAGTCATCTCCTGGCTTAAAGTCTCCAATGACTTCCAGATGCACTTAAATAATCTAAGTAAATCCACATTTACCTTGGCCACAAGTACCCTGACTGACTCTTATCTCTCCAATCTCATGACACATCAAGTTCCTTCTTGTTCACTAGTCTCCTCTTCCCCTACAGGCTCGCTCTTAAGTTGCTTGTGTCTCAGCATAATAACACTTCCTCATTGACAGTCTCCCGGACACTTCCATGGCCACTCAATTGTATTAGTGCTCTCATTTCTTTATGACACTATGAAACACTGCTTTATGTTGATGTTATTTCTCATCAAATGCAAGCTATGCAGTCAGACTGAACCTAAAAAAGTACTTACAACAAAACAAAACAAAAAAATCAGTACATTTTATTTACTTTGTGTGTAAATGCCTGTATATCTATGCACATGCCACAGAGCACATGTGGAGGTCAGAGGACAATTTGTAGGAGTTGGTTATCCCGTCTGATCATGTGGGTCCCAGGAAACCAAGGCTTGGCGGCAAGTGTCTTTACCTGCTTATCTTGCTGGTCCAGGGTGTACTTTAAAAACAAACCCAGACAGTTGTGGTAACACATGCCTTTAATTTCAGTACCAGGGAAGCAGAAACAGGTGGCTCTTTTGAGTTTGAAGCCAGCCTGATTGTATTTCCAGTTCTAGGATAGCAAGGGTTCTGTCTCAGAGCAAAACAAGACAAAACCCAACACATTGGGGCGGGATGGGGCCAAGACAGAATTTTTAAAAACAAATAAGGAAGCCTGCCTTTTCATGTTCTGCCTGCTTTCTTTACTGTGTGTGTGTGTGTGTGTGTGTGTGTGTGTGTGTGTGTGTGGGTTAACACGTCCTGGTTTCTTGCATGCAAGCACCTGTGCACACTTCATGCACAACTGAAATGAACAAAGGTTTCAGTTCCCCTGAAGCTGGAGGCTGTAAGCCATCTGATGTGGGTGCTGAGAACTAAACTTAGGTCCTCTGAAAGTATAGTATACACTCTTAACCACTGAGCCATCTCTCCAGCTAAAGGCAAAGGGTCTTGGTTATGTGGACTGGGCTGGCCCGAACTCTCGAGTGCCAAGATTACAGGTGTGTACCACCGTACCTGGTTCAAATGGAAATATCCATCAACAGAGTATAACAACTGAGTCAGAACTATGCAAGGGGAAGTAAGAGCATATCTAGTGAAGAGGGACAGCATGAGATACATGAGAGGTAGCTATCTGCAATCCTAGTCTCCAGGAAGCTAAGGCAGGAGAATTGCTTTGAGTTCCAGGTCAACCTGAGATACAAAGTAAGCTCCTGTAAAGAAAACTATATAGAGCTGTATATAATGCACCACTAGTGTTTCACTTGAAGGATGGACTCTAGGTGGTTGAGAAGTCATTTTGAGGAGGCAAGGCAATTACTAATACTGTAATTTTTATACCATTTCACTAGATGTAAGTGAGCACACAATGTTTATTGACAAGAATTTTTTAGCCTTTAATCCCAGTGTTTGGGAGGCGAATTTCTGAGTTCAAGACCAGCCAGGTATATACAGCAAGTTCCAGAACAGCCTGGGATATACAAAGAATACCTGTCTTTAACCCTCCCAACACACACACACACACACACTCACACTTGAGGCTTCTTTCTCCCTAGACACAGGGTGGATGAGTGGAAGCTCTGTGACTGGAAGCAGTACTTGCCCTCCCTGCTCCAACTTTGTTTGGCTTCAAGTCCCAAGGAGGCACCAGTTGCTTCAACATAAGAACAACTTCTACTATGTATCTGTCCAAGGATGGAGCTGGCCACCATGTGAGAAGGTAATAAGTGCCTGGCTATTGGAAGTGGGTAAGCAGAGGTTGGGTGGACATCTCTTAGAAGTGGGTGTGGTGATTCCTCCACTGGGTGACAGCTCACTCCATACTAGACCATTTGTACTGTTTCGGTGGAACATTTTAATAGGTGATTTGATATGCAAGAGCATTTACAGCAAAAAGCTGACCAAATTCTCAGGTAAAAACTGTGCACATTTCTACTCATCAACCTTTTTTCTTTTTTTTAAACACTGGATTGTTCCTTTTCCTAAGCAACAAGGCTATATCCCCAATAGCTGCTGACTAAACATCAATCTAGCTTCTGCCAGCAAAGCTTTGGGACAGAATGAGGTCTCAAATGTGATGCTCACCAGGATAGGCTTTGAACAGAGCTGGCCACTGGGGACTACAATGAGCTAGCTACAAAGTACACAGGCTGTTTAAAGGCAGAATACACTATTCCACTCTAATCAACTGTTGCCATGTGGGAATAGATTCATATTATTAGGTCTTCGGTGTTTTGTTTTTAATAGAACAGCAGGAAATCTGGCTTTGAAAGAAATTCCCTATTTTTAAACGTTGGAAACTAATTCACATTAAAACAGCAACTGTGAACTACTACACAGCACAACAAAACCACAAAACACTGTGGCCGTGGTCCTTGAAACAAACTGGAAATAACCCAGAAGCTGACTAATTGCCCCCCAACCCCAAAGCGCTGTAGTTTGTATCTTCAAGCTCCCTTGATGCTCAAGGGACATCTGGTGGAGAGGGCACTGTGATGGAATGGGTCTAGAGTGGGCACTAGGGCTTCCACAAATCCACTATAAGAACAAACTGTGAGAAAAAAAAAAAAAAAAAAAAAAATCAACCAGTAGCTAAACCCAAAGATCAAAGAGTTTGATCCCCAGAACCCACAAAATGGAAATAAGTCCAAGTTTTCTTTCCGACCTATACACACAAACACAAACACACACACACACACACACACACACAAACACTAAGTAAAATACAATCTAAAAAAGTTTTGTTTTAAAAGATTACTGTGAATTAATTAGAGACCAGCCTGATCTATGTAGCAAGTTCTAGGACAGCCAGGGCTACATAGTCAGCTGTCTCAAAAAATAAAGTGGGAAAAAAAAAAATCCCTAATGGGGCTGGAGAGATTGCTCAGTGGTTAAGAGTACTAAGGTTTGGTTCCCAGCACCCACACAGCAGCTCACACCTTCTGTTACTCCAGTTCAAGGGAATCCAAGGCCCTCTTTCAGTTTCTGCAAATAGTGGTGCATATGGTGCATATAAATACAAGTAGGCAAGCACTTTTACACATAAATCTTTAAAACAAAAAACCAGGAAAACAATGGCAAGGGGACTGTCATGAGTTTATAGCCAACTTGGGCTACATAGCAAGATTCTATCTCAAAAAAACAAAACAAAAACAAGCAAACAAACAAACAACCCCAACAAACAAACACAACCTAAAAG